CAGCTTTGCGGCGGAGCTTGCTACCTGTGCCGCGGCCTCCGCCTTTCCAAGGGCTGCTGGGGCGCAGCCGCCCCCCAGTTGTGCTGGTCTCCGCCTTTCGAGGCCCCCAGGCTCAGCTCCGGTTCCTCGGCGGCAGACGCGGACTCTGCGCCAAGTTCTCTGGCGCTCGCCACACTCGGTCCCGGAGTCCCGCGGGCTGAGCGGGAGCCGGGAGCCCGGAGCCGAGACCCAGGGGAGGAGCAGGGACGCGGAACAATAAAGGGAAAGAGGAAGGAAAAATGATGGGAGGAAGAAGCTGCTTAATGGCACTCAAAAGGGAGTTGCGCGCATCTGCGGAGACTCGGTGCCGGTCGCTCGTCCGAGACCTCCCAAGCTCAGCTCTGTTCCCTTCGGGGCGTATCCTTCCCTCCGCCTGGTATCCCTCCAGGACTCACCCCCAAGGTAAGGGAGCACCTACCACGTGGCAGGCTCTGCGCTAAGCGCTGTACATTATCTCTTTTAGTTTTCCCCAACATCCCTAAGCGGCAGAAACTGTTTCCACGAGTATCAGGGACCAGGGGACGGCCTTGGAGAAGTTCAGTGGGTTGCGCCGAGTTTTGCAGCTGGTGGCCAAAGGAGGACTCGGAGAAGGGTCTGTGCGATCCTGACGCCGCGGTCAAAGCCTCTAGCCCCTCGGCTCTGCCCGACCATTGTCCTCTCACGCTGTCTGCACCTGTCGCGGGCCTCTCTGGGTGGGAGTGAAGAGAGAAGGGAAGGACCAAAGAGGTGACCAGGTGCCTCTTCCCCATTTGGACTCTTAGCCTGGGGCGCGGAGAGACCATTCCGTGCGCCGGGGTAGCTTTGCGCCTTGGAAGGGAGAACCTTCCTAGCGCAGGGATCGCGTTCCCAGCAGGCGCAGGGGTTCGGGGCAATGTCCCCCCCTCCCTGGTGCGACAGGGGAGGGTGAAAAATCTGGAGTCGGGAAACGGGCGCTAGGAGGAAGTGGGGCGGCGGGAGAGCCGCAGGTAGGGGAGACGCAAGGCAGCGCGCGCGGAGCGCCCACGTGGAGGGTGTGTGGCTCCTTCATTCAAACTTTGAGAGTCTGGGTCCCGGCGTCAGCGGAGGTGTGACCAATCAGAGTCGGAAGACGGTAATAAATTATGCAAATCACCATCTGGCGATGGGTCAGCTGACTCCCGTAGCTTTAAAAACCTACCTCGCTGGGAGCTCGCTGAGCGACGGTGGCGAGCCCGTACTTCCCCGGCGGGAGGCGCGGGCGCGGGCGCATCTGGTCTGGTTGAAGCCCCTTCACACTCTCGCCACCGCGCCTCGCCGCTCAGTTTAGGCAGGTTTCCATTTTCCACCTTCTCCACCTTCAGCCGTCTAAGGCCACACCACTCCCTGGTGGAGAGAAGGTGCCCACTTCAGGTCCTATTGGTCCTGACTGCTGGAAACCTCAAAAAAGTTTTCATTGTTGTTGTTTTTTTTAAAGTCCTGTTTCGCGGACGGGTGTGTGGCGGGGAAGGATGAGAAACTCCGTTCTCCTGCTCTGCCTTTGGAGCGTCTATTGTTGCTTTGCCGCGGGAGGCCCCGCACCCCTTGGTCCAGAGGGACCGCTGCAAGGTAACGTGCTCTGACTTTTTATTAGCCCCCAGCTTCTTTCCTGCGCCGGGCTCCCTCTGTCCTGCAGACCCTTCTTCAGCCCCTCCTGGTTCCTGGGGCACCTTCCTTTCCGAGGCGCTGTCCGCTTGCTCCTAATTAGCCTTGCTCGTCACTAGTTTCTTGGCGCTTCGCTAGCTGGCTGGCCGGCGCGCGCAAGCCCCACCCTCTGCATGAGATGGGTGGGTGCTGTCCTGTCAACCCAATTGGCCGCCAGCAGCTCTTCAACCTTGTCTTCATCTTTGAACCTGGAGGTTTGCAGTCAACAAGGTTAGAAGGAGCTCCCTCACGTGGCTCCACTCCTCCTTTTAATTCAACCATGTAGGTGTTTTGAAAGTTAAGGTGGCAAGGAGCCTCTGGTGAGTGACTTGTGCCCAGAAACTGCTGGGCCCCCCTCCCCCCACAGCACTCCTTCCAACCCACTCTCTTTGTCTTCCTAGCTGCTAGCTTTTCTTCCTTCTGAGTCCTGCATGGCAGTCTCTTGCACTGGAAGAAGCTGGCTGTGGTGGAATGAGGGTAGGGTCACCCAGAGGGAGTGCCAGCGGAACTCTCAAACTGTACCCTGTTAGTTCATCTTCTGTTATTCTGCTGAGGTTGGCCAAATGATGCTGGTCCGTGTCAGCTTATGTACTGGCGGGAGGGTTAATTTGAATGATGAATGGGAAAGCTTTGCTTTACTTAGCATGTGCTCAGCTCTAGTGCTAAGTAAAAGTGTGACCTGGAGGAGGTTGCCTCTCTAGCTCCTCTCCCGTAGAATGCTAATGTTCCTTCCCACTCCCATGTTCTGCGATTCTGAGTATTTGTGGGCCATTTCATTCATTCAAAAAAGTATTTACTGCTTGTTTGCTTAGTGCCAGGCATTCTTCTAGGAGCAGGTGAAAACCTCTCCCTCATAGAGCTTACGTTTGAGTGCTGAGAAGACAGACAGGCATCTAATTAAAATACATAAATTATGCTCAGTGTTACGGGAGGTATGGAGCGCTGGTGGGAGAAGGTGGTGCAGTTTTAATCTGTGGTCAGGCTTCCCTCTTTGAGATTTGAGAGCAAGGAACTGAAGGAGGTGAGAGAATGAGCCATGAAGACATCCAGGTGAAGAACAATCATAAAGCCCCAGAGGTTGAAGTGACTCAGGCCAAAAGTACAGTGGTACTTCGGTTTTTGAACGTCTCCATTGACGAGCACTTTGCTTACGAACGCTGTAAACTTGGAAGGAAACGCTTCAGTTTTCCAACGGGCCTCGGAAGTCGAATGTGCCACTCGGCTTCCACTGAGGGCAAGATCCTAAGGCCTAGCTGTCGGCTGTGGATCCCTCAGTTTTCCAGCGTTTCAGAACTCGACCAGTCTTCTGGAACGGAGTACATTCGAAAATTGAGGGACCACTGTAGTAGGAATGAAGCTAGAGGACTCTGGGATCAGAGAAGCAGCTGCTAAGGCACACCCTTTATGTTGATTCGTGGGTTTATTTACCAGTCTGTCCCAAGAAGCCAGCAGATGCCTTTGCCTTTTTTCCTAGAATTCTCCATCTGGGCTTTGTGGGAGTAGTTATCTGGGTGGAACCTGGGAGGTGTCAAACTAGTTACTCCATGGCTCAAATTTTTGCCGGTTGGGGCTTTTGTTCATTTCTTTAATCACAAAGTTCTGCTCATGTGTATTTAGTTGCATTTTCTGGAACCCTACCCTTTTTACATCTGGTGCATTCTCCATTCCCCTCTCCACCATTCTGGGCCTTCTTTCCATGATTTCATTTACTTCCTAACTCTGAGATAAATGAAGCTCCTGGGATTGTCCTTTGGTATCTTTCCCCCTGATTTCTAGCTGACAGGATAGTTTGATTATCTAAATTCTTAGCCGGTTATCAAGAGATGTTTTCCTGGATGGCTGGAAGAGTGATGGGGTTCACTTTTGCCCATCTGAAATAGTGCAGTGATGATAGCACCTAGTGTTTAAAGGCCATAGGGACCATCAGTGACATCCACTGTGTTTTGGGAGCAAGGTTATCTCCTCCATGGCACTGTGCATGAGCAGTGGAGCTGGAGAGAGTGGTTTTGCTGCTCTTATAAGTTTCTCCATGGCTTCAGTCATTTATTTAACAAATTAGAAGAATGCCTGGCACATCCCTGGCTCTGCAAAGGACATTGGGGATGCATGAGGTTTTGGGAGTAAGTGCTAGAATCAAGCTGGGAGAAGCCCATTGTATAATAATAGGTTGACAGCTTCTTACCTCCAATGTCAAACTCCAAAGTCTCTCAGAACTGGAAAATTTGGTAACTTGTTTGGCAATAAGACCTGGTCTTACCTGATTTGAACTCATTTGGCAGCAAAGCTGACCTGAATCAACAGGAGGCTATTTTGTAATTTTCTTTTTGCCTGTAAGTGTGGATAGTCACATATTTCCCTGCAGAACTATTAGTGTGTTTGATTAAAGGGGAATGCCCCAGGCCCTGCTGGGATGTTATATAATGCCTGGTGTACGTACCATAATGCCTTTCTAAAATCTGAACGTTTCTGGGTTCTGCCACTCCACTGGTCCCAAGCCTTTCAGGAAAGGGATTGAAGGCCCATACTCTAAAGGTAGTACCTGGAGGGGAGGGAGGAGAAATCGTTTTGATGGGGAAGAAGAAAGGTGAGCAAGAGAGACCTGTTTATTTCAGAGTCACAGTAATTAACACTAGTGACTGATTAAATACGCTTAAGTGTAGACTAGATGTCCCTTTTATAATATCTTTGCAACTCTTCTGGGAAGTGAGGAGGGAACATTCAACAGATGTAAAAACTAAGACCCAGAGGGGTTAAGGAATTGGCTCAAGGTTGTACGAGAGCTACACCCCAGATCTGTTGTTCCTCAAGCCCCTAGATGCACCCAGGCTCTGTTCTTTCTCCCCAGATGAGCTCCACGAATCCAAGGATGTACAGGCTGCTGCCAAACCCTCCGTGAGGTTTAACCTCCGCACCTCCGAGGACCCAGAGCTTGAAGGATGTTACCTCTCCCTCGGTGACAACCAGCCCCTAGAAGACTGTGGCTTCAACATGACAGCCAAAACCTTTTTCATCATTCACGGGTGGACGGTGAGCCCAGGGGAGGGAGCGCTGCAGCTTTACACCGGATTTGGTTTCTTTTGTTTGGGTCAATTAAAAAGAATACTGGTGCTTCCAGATTCCACTCTCTCCCCACCCCTTTTCTTGTGGGCTGCTTGTATTTCAGACAGCTCTGAAGACTGTAATGGGCACTGTGCTGAGGGGCAATCTGGACTCCAGCAGGGTGGCATTTAATGCTGGCACACAGCGGGCTTTCAGAAAGTGGCTCTCTTGAGGGCAGCAGCCCAGCTCCATTGGCTCCTAAGGATCCCTCTAATTACACTTAATTACTTTGGTCAACCAGTGCCTCACGGGGGCCATCCCTCCCTAGGAACTGAGCTGAGCTGAAGCAACCTGACTGGCTCAGAGAGTCCATGAGTTGCCAGCTGGCCTGGCTTGCTGGCCGCTATTGGCATGGTGCCTTCCTGTTTGCATAGAGATGGCTCCCTTTAAAGGCATTGGGGCTCTTTATGTGCCCCAGCTGAGCAACTCACATTGAAAGGTCCATGACAAACTTCAACAAAAAAGGGCTTTAACACTCAGCTTCAGAAGCTTTTGACCACTGAGGGATTTATTCATTCATATAATGACAGTCTGTAGGAAAATGGCACTATTAAGTGAGCAGGTTTCTGCCTGGGCTAATTGGGAGGGGACATTCCTTTTCTTAATGATGAGAAATTCATATCCATTACATGCTTTCTGGGTCTTTAGGTCTATCACCAACTGTTGGGGTTAGGCCTGGGGGAGGGGGTTTGGGAGTAGGTGCCTACCTACCTAATGTGATTGAAGAGATGATTCAAGGCTTGTCCATCTATCTTCAACCCATAGTCCGTCCACGATTAGAATCACGAATTTGAACCTTTTTAAGCCCCCCTGTCAAAGTATAAATACAAACTGCCTGCAACTTACAAATGGGTTGCATTCCAGAAAGTTCTTTTGTAATCTGTTTGGAACTTGGAATAGCAGTTTCCCATAGAAGCAAGATTGTAAATGGCTTTTGGGTTCCCAGGCCAGGCACAGAAAATCTTTTTATCTAATAATGTGCTTGCAGATAGGTTTACAACTGGACCTTGTCACCATTTATACTTTGTTTCTGTGGGAAAATGTGTTCTGAGTTCTAATTTGGGATTCCTGGGACAGATCTTTCCTTCTCTGGGGTCAAGAGGGATGGGCTGTGGGACTGGGTCATTTGTTAGCTCTGCGCTTGCCTAGGAGACACCATCTCCCTGCATCTTCAAGAGAGAAGCTAATTCTCCAGGGTAACCCTTCTGCCTTTGAATGATGGAATAGACCACCTGCCTGACTGTGATAGGGACTCAGGCTAACCTAAGGTCAGTATTGCCACCAATACATATCTCATAGTGGCCTTATAGGACAGTGGGGCAGAGGCTATGAAAATTTTGATAGAAAAAACTAGGGATGTAAAGAGCATTGAAGACAAAAACACCCATGTAGAAATCCTACCTGTGGTTTGCCCTGCTCACGTGCAAATATTCGGTCCCTGAGCCGTCGATGTTAAGGTTCTGGAATCAGCTCGGGAGAGGATCATGGAACTGAATTCTATATTTATTAGGATTTCTGAAACCCAGAGAAGATTAAAAAAAAATGTCCTGTTTTCTCTGCAGGTGAGTGGCATATTTGGGGAATGGCTGTACAACCTTGTGTCAGCCCTGCAGACAAGAGAGAAAGAAGCCAATGTCGTGGTGGTTGACTGGCTCCCCCTGGCTCACCAACTTTACACAGATGCAGTCAATAACATTAGGGTGGTGGGACACAACATCGCAGGGATGCTCGACTGGCTACAGGTAACGAGATGAAAGGGAGTCATCTTTCATGAGCAGCATCTTGAACTCAGACCTTAAGAAATACAGGTTAGACAGTGTTACAGTGAATTTCAGATGTCTGATCAAAACCTTTGGGATTCAGATTGTTACTGAATTAAGTATTGCTCGACATACTTGAAAGCTGGGACTTTTAGAGAGGCTTTTAATTATTGATATATCTCTGGATTTTTTTCCTGTTATTTTATCTGCTGGTCGTAAGTTTGCTTTGTGAATCGTTACTTTCTGATCTTAGAAACTGATGCCTTCAGGTTGGTTGAGAATGGCCAGGGGCCAGGACTGGCTTGTAATCTTATAAACCTACTGAAATCTCTTTTTGTCTCTTAAGGGTGCCTGTCCTGAGAGTGGGGAGGGAGTTGGTTCAAACAAATGCAGCCTACTGCCTTGCTTAAAATATTAAGTGTGGAAAACAGATATAAAGGTCTTAAAATTCTGGGTTCTCAAACATTCCCTCAGACTTCTGCCTAGGTTGTTTTGTAGAGCTTGGTTCCCGAGCTTTGGGATCAAATCCCCACCTCCTCACCCCCTGCCATCGGAGTACCCTATCAGGGTGCAGTGCTCCAACTCTGGGGTCCCAGGTGGGTTTGCAGTGAGGGCGCAGCTCCTAAGGCCTGAGAGGGTGGGCAAGGAGTCTGCGCTGCAGGTTGTGGCTGGCACTTAGTCTCCAGTAGGTCTGGTGGCTTTGACCTCCACACTGCCACCCTCCCCCCTTAGATGCTGCCAGAAAGAATGGAAAACATGTAGGGAAAGGGTCAGGTATACAGCCTCTAGTCACCACCTGTCCTCAGTGCTTGGCATTTAAAGTGTCACCAAGTCCTTTGGACCTCCCCTTACCTGGCTATATTCCATCTGTGTTGTGTTGCCAGCAAAGCCTGCCCCTGGATGTCTCTGTCCCTGGCTCCTGTGTCTCCTCCTTGTCATGATTGAACCGTTTAGTTGTTGGTGACTCTGTGGGCTCAGGATTACACTCTCCACTCACACACTTTCATGCCTTCCTGCAGGAGAAGGATGGTTTTTCTCTTGCGAATGTTCACTTGATTGGCTACAGCCTTGGAGCTCACGTGGCTGGGTACACTGGCAACTTCGTGAAAGGCACCGTGGGCAGAATCACAGGTAAGCTCTGCTTCCTCCACAAACAGCTGATCCCGAGCTCCCTCAGCTCCTCTGTCAGGTTGGCCTTTCTGAACCTGAGTGCCCCTAAATGAGGCAGCATGAGTGAGCCACAGAGGGTTAGCTTTGGAAGAAACCAGAGAACATCTAATCCAGAGCTTTTCAAATGTTCTATTTAGTCACGGGACCCTTTTTCAAATTGAACTTGTATGGCACCCCAATACAGGAAACATAGAAGGGATGTTCTGGTCAAGGCCGGGTGTACAGTGGGCAGTGTTAGTTTTGCTGTTCGGGCCTTCCCTGGAGGAATCGTAGGGTCCCAGAGCCCCAGGGAACACAGTTTGAAAACCACTGGTCTGACCCAACAGGTAAGGAAACACTGAGAGGCAAACAGCTAATACTTAAGGGCAGAAGTGGGGTGGAGCCCTGGCCTCCAAGCTTCTGGGACTCACTTCTCACCCCTGCCTGTGATACGCTAGGACATCAAGGGAAAGAGTGAGTGGTGGATTGCAGTTTGAATTTTGCCTCTGATTTCTATTTCATCTATGAACAGCCTCTTGCCAATGTTTAGCTGGCATATTTATTAGTGATAATGACCTGTTTAGAACGGATGATTAAACTTTGTCTTAAAGAGACCTTTCTGATATCCAAACCCAGATTGTCAATAGAAAATTGGGCTTTCCTTTTTAGTTAGCCTTTGATGTGAGAGTTTGGGTTAGATCCTTTAATGATTATGGAAAGTGGGGAAGGTTCTCTTTCCCATGTTGGAGTTTCCCTAAATACATACTCAGGGCTTCCTCTAGGCTAAAATGAATGGCAGATCTGTTGCCCTGAACTTTTAACCTCCTTCCAACATTCTTTTTTATTTGTCTTCACTTCCAGCTTTCCCCTTGCCTCCAACATAGAAGGAAGGAGTGGATCAATTTCTTTCCCAACAGTGTTTTCATTTTGAAATAGGACTCAGGTAGAAGGGTGTTCTTAGCTAAAGAAAGATTTAGTAAAGGCAGAATTTCAGGTTTCAGCAGTAAGCTGGTGGGGTCGATTTTTTAAAAAGTACTTGTGAGGTGTTTTTTTCTTTTATAAAAATATGGAGCACTTCACGAATTTGTGTGCCATCCTTGTGCAGGGGCCATACTAATCTTCTCTGTATCGTTCCAATTTTAGTATATGTGCTGCCGAAGTGAGCACTATTTGCGAGGTTTTAGTGGCCCTCTTTATATCGTTGTCCTGGGTTTAAGTCTAATGTGCTTGTGTCTGCACAAATACACACATACACACACACTCCCACACTCCTTTAGATCCAATTATTTGATTCAACATACTTTGAGAGCTTTATTTTTGATTACCAAGATTGCGGGGCCTGGGCTGTCTAAGTGGGCAGTGATTGTGTGGCCACACATGACTGCTCATTAACCCACTGCTGGTGCAAAGCTGTTTGACCTTAAGCCCCTCTGGGGCCTATTGTCTGAGCACCTCCTTTTAGCCCCCATGCGAAACATGATGTTCAGAGCCAGGCCAGCCATTCTGGTGGGGGTCAGCACACACTAGGCCCCCACCAGAGAGTCCTTGGCAGCAAGGATGAGCTGCAGAGCCTCCCTTTCCTTATTTCTAAATCCTAAATGAGATGGGGCTAGTGGGGAGTGGTCCAGTTCTTTCCCCTGTCTGGATGGCGGCTGCTGAGATCTGAGCTTCGCTAGCAGAATGCTAATCAGTTCTCCATGCTGTCTGCCTGCGGCATGGGGACCGCATGTCCTGAGCTCAGCCTCTTCTTTCTGGCCTTTCTCTGGAGCAGGGGCCTTGGGTGAACACAACAGGAAGGGGTGGCCTCTGTCCAGCTGCCAAGCAGCACCTCAGAGGGTATTTGGCTGACCTGACATATGCTGTTGTGCATGTCTCATGGGGGAGGCTTATGCACTTTCCTCTCCCTCAGACTTCTCATGGGCCTGGAAGCCAGATGATCCAGACTGGTAAAAGGACCAGAGATTGTAGCTAGAATAGGGTCCTGAGGCCACTGCTGCTGCTGTGCAGAGGCCTGGGGCCTGTAGGGGGATATCTGAATCCTAGTCTTACTTGGATCAGAGAGCTGTGTATTGGGGTTTGCTTGGGTTTTACCCTCTTAGGCTCTGAGGGAATTCTGTAATATACTAGGGAAGAGGTAATGTATTTCTAATTGAACTTTGTCTAGTTAGTTATAAATAAATAAGCAAACCATTCATTCATTCATTCATTCAGAAATATGAGTTAAGCGACCATTCTGTAGGCTGTGGGAAAGATGGTACCTAATGTCAAGCACCTAATGTGTGACAGGGACTTCATGCCGTATCTAAGTCACATAGCACCTGGCAAAGGGGGTCCTTTCGGCTCCACTTTATGGATGGGGAAACTATGACTCAGTGCTTAAATAATGGGTCCAATATCTTGTACTCTAAAGAGCAGGGCTGGGACTCAAACCCAGGCTGTCAGATTCCAGAGCCTGCACCTACTGACTGAGCCACACTGCCTCTCCTCTGTCAATAGAGATAAAGTAGCTGTTGTAATACAGAGGAACTGTGTGTGTATGCACGTGTGTGTATTCCATTTGTTGGACAGAGCACTTTTGGAGGAGTCAGGCTGAATGGAAGAAGGGTTGGTTCTCCATCTTTCTCTTTTTGGAGGGGATAAATTCTCCCTCCCACTCCTAGTTTAAAAAGTAAGTTGTGCAACTTTTCCCCAGAGTCTGTGAGCCCTGGCTATGTGTCAGGCTGGGTCAGTCTGGGTAGGTGAAGGCTCAGCCTGGCTGCCAGCAGGCCTGTAGAGAAGCCCCTCAGCTGCCTGCATTCCTCCAGTGCAGCTTGGTTTCCATGGCACTGACCGTCTGGTGGAGGCTTTTGTTCACACCAAGCGAAGAGCCCTTCTCTTGTATTGGTTGCAAAACAGAATGTTTCTTTTCCCCCTCCCTCCAGGAGACATGGCAACAGACAGGGAGAGGCTGCTTGTATCAGTTCAGTGGTTCTTGCAGCCTCTAAAACGAGTCATCGTGGACTGTTCTGGGAAGACACTGCTTTTGTGACACCTTCCTTTTGGGTCCTGGCCTGGGGATGCAGCCTGGGCTCCCTTTCTGCCTCCATCTTACATACGTTTATCTAAACTTCTGGAAACTATTTAAAGTTTCAACCTCTACCAGTTCTCATGGGTAACGAGTTCCACAGGTTTACTTTCCACTCTGGACAGTAGCTTTGCCTTTTGTTTATCCTAAAATTCCTCTCTTAAGCCTTACAATGTGCTTCTTGGTTCTATGGCACTGGGGTCTGGAGGACACGGTTCTTGACATTAGGTAGCATCACATCTTTTTTTTTTTTTAATATCTTTATTGATTTCAGAGAGGGGAAGGAAGAGAGAGAGAGAGATAGAAACATCAATGATGAGTCATTGATCGGCTGCCTCCTGCACGCCTCCTACTGGGGATGGAGCCTGCAAACCAGACATGTGCCCTGACTGGGAATCGAACCACGATCTTCTGGATCCTAGGCCGATGCTCAACTGCTGAGCCACACCAGCTGGGCACATCTTTTTTTTTATAACTGTTTTTGGTCCTGTCTCCTCCCTACCTTGCTCTTTCTAGATCAGGGTTTCTCAACCTTGGCTCTATTCACATTTTGGGCCAGTTCATGCTTTGTTGTGGGAGCTGCCCTGAACATTGTTGGATATTTATCAGCTCCTCTGGCCTCTACCCTCTAGATACTTAGTAGCTTCCCTCCGCCTCCCCCAATTTTGACAACCAAAAATGACTCCAGACATTGCCAAATGTCCCCTTGGAAGCAAAATCACTCCCAGTTGTGAGCCACTGTTCTAGACTAAACAGACTCCCTTCCTCTGCTGTAAATAGTCTTTTTTTTTCTTTAATTCTCACCTGAGGATATTTTTTCCGTTACTTTTCAGAGAGAGTGGAAAGGAGAGAGAGAGAGAGAAACATCAATGTGAGAGAGACAGATCAATTGGTTGCCTCCTGCATATGCCCCAACCAGGGCCAAGGACTGAGCCTGCAGGATTGAGCCTGCAACCAAGGTACATGCCCTTGGCCAGAATCAAACCCGGGACCCTCTAGTCCACAGGCTGATGCTTTATCCAATGAACTAAACTGGCTAGGGCTGTAAATATTCTTTTCTTAACTTTTTCTCTCTTTGTCTGTAGGGCAAGAGCCTTCTAAGATAGGATGAATCTGGCTCCCATAATTAGTTAAGTTTGGTAATAATAGCTAGTACTTATACTGAAAAGAACTTAATCTCATATTATCTCACACGAATTGTATGAATTAAGACCTTCCATTCCAAAAAATTAGGTTCCATTTTATAGATGGTATTGAAACATGAAGAACTTTTCCAAAATCTAGTCCACAGACTACCTACTTTTAATCACCTGGAAAATAAATATATATTTCTGGGCTCCACACCAGACCTACTAATTAGAATCTCTAGCCGGTCAGGAATCTGCATTTCATAGTTTGCATATATATATATATACATATATATATACACATATATATATATTTGAATGATTTTGCATTCATATAGTTCACAATTAAAAGATGGTGGAAGTCTCTCTTATGGTTGCCACTCCCTGCCCAGTTCCCTTCCCTGCCCTCTTCCCCAACACACATACACACAGGTAACTGGTGGCTGGTCTGCCCTTCTAGAGTTTTTGTAGCTACAAAGTAGAATCTGAATTTGTAACAAGTGCCTCAGCCATATTTGTGGTTTTCAAATGTGAGAGCCAGTGCTTTCTATAGTGCTGTTTACCCGTTCAATCCAGAAAGTTTGCAGACAGAAGTGTTTTCTCTTTGTAGCTGAAAAATAGAGGAATTCTGGAGGCATGGGATATAGACTCTTAGTGTATCTGGTGTCCCCACCCACCCTCTCCATTCATCACTAAAGGAAGGGGACAAGTTAAGTCCAAATATAAATAGCTCAGTTTGGGGGACTGAGTCTTCCCTCCAGAAATGTAGGTAGCTTAATGGTTCTGTAAATAGCCTGCTGATCTGAGGCTGTGGAAGGCTCTCAGTGGCAGAATAAATGGAATAAATGACTTAGTTTCAGCCAGCCCGAGTTCTTTCTAGAGCTGCTCCAGCTCTGGCAGCCTGTGGTTCCTCGGAGCTGTGTGCCAGGGTGAAACTTGTGGCCAATTTACTGAATCGGCTGAGGCGTCAGGACAGGTGAGGCGGCAGAAGGAAGCGAAGTTCCTGGACTGCGGGTACCCTGCGGTCCAGACTGGCTGGGCCCCGAGGAGGGTTCCGTTCTGCACACTCAGACTTGACTCGTTGCACCTGACACGGTCGTTCTTGGCTCCCCCTTCTGCTGTAGGTTTGGATCCTGCCGGGCCCATGTTTGAAGGGGTGGACATCCACAGCAGGCTGTCCCCTGACGACGCAGACTTCGTGGATGTCCTCCACACCTATACGCGTTCCTTCGGCTTGAGCATCGGGATTCAGATGCCTGTGGGCCACATTGACATCTACCCCAACGGGGGTGACTTCCAGCCGGGCTGTGGCCTCAACGATGTTTTGGGGTCATTTGCATATGGAAGTGAGTTCCTTATTTTCTGTCTCATGGGGAGGTTTGACTCAGTTATTGCATCTCCTCCTAAATCACCAGAGCTGCTAGAGATCCCAACCGCATTTATTTCCTTCCTCCTACGCCCCCCACGCTGGCCCTCCAACTGTCTGACATTCCTCATCCTACAAGCCTATGAACAGCCTCCCTGTGGTTTCTGCTCTGCCTTCTCATGCTTTGAGGTCCAGTTATTATTGATTAATTTCTTTTTATAACCAAAGGAATATATGTTTGTTGAAGAAAATCAGGCAATATAGAATTGCATAAAGCAAAAAACAAAACTGCCCCCTGACCTCTCACTCCCGTTCCTGCTGTCACTTTTCAGAAGTAGCCAATATGAATGAACAGTTTGTGTGTGTCCTTCCAGTCTTTTTTCTTTGCAAATTTATTTGTGTGTGTGTATAATTATATTTTTCAAAATTACATTCCTCTGCAACTTTTCTTTTTCAATCATAATATATTATGGACATTCTTAAACATCAGAGCACATAGATCTTACCTTATCATTTTTAAAAAATTTTAAATTGTATTTTTAAAATTTTCACCCAAGGATACGTTGTTATTGATTTGAGAGAGAGGGAGGGAGAGAGAGAGAGAGAGAGAGAGAGAGAGACATCAATGTGAGAAAGAAACATTGATCAGTTGCCTCCCTATCTCCCCAACTGAGGATCAAACCTGAAATCTGGGTATGTGCCCTGACTGGGAATCAAACCTGAGAAGACCCTTTGGTGCATGGGATGACTCTCCAACCAACTGAGCCACACTGACCAGGGCTTACTTTATCACTTTTCTTTTAATCCTCACCTGAGGAGTGAAAATATTTTTTCTATTTGTTTCCAGAGAGAGTGGAAGGGAGGGGGGAGAAAGAGAGAGAGAGGAGCATCGATGTGACAGAGACGCATCGATTGGTTGTCTCCCACATGCACCCAACTGGGCTGGGGATCGGACCTACAGCCCAGGTACATGCCCTTGATGGGGAATCGAACCCGAGACCCTCCGGTGCGCAGTCCAACGCTCTAACCACTGAGCCACGCAGGCTAGGACACCTTATCACTTTTAAAGGCTATATAATATTCTATAGCATGAATGTACTATAATGTATTTTTTTGTAATAGTTTAAAGAAGTAAACCCAAGCTGCTTTCTCCATTCACTTATCATTTATCCTCTGCATGCCTGAGTCTGTTCCCAGCAGGCTGAACTGAATTTGCTGCTGAAACGGATGTGTGGCCCCAGTGACCGATCTCTTTCTGGATTTTTCATTCACTCACTGCCTTGGATCCTGGCAGCATTTCTAAGTCTTGGCCTCAGTTGGCTCTCTGCAATGATGCTGTCACTCAGTCTTAAGACTGTTGCCCTCTACCAATGTGATAATATACCCATGGACTTGGAGGTCCATGCAGGGGAAGTTCAGCCCTGCCTCAGGGAATGGAAGGATGACAATTCTTAAGGCTGGTGGTGTTAGTGAGAAAGGGATGGGGTGGCTTTGCCAAGTTTTTCTTAAGGTCCCAGGATTTACTTGAACTATTGACTTTAGCCTCTGGTTACAAGCAATAATGATGTATTATGGGCCAGAAAATCCAAATTATACTTCTAACTTTGAAACCAAATGTCTGTGTAAACCTGACCAAATTGCTTCACGTTTATGGGCCTTTGGGTTATAATCTATAATGGAAAGGACTGGACTAGAATGTCATTGGCAAACATTTTCCTAAAGTGTCAGCTAGTAAATAGTTTAGGCTTTGCAGGCCAGAGTCTCTGTTCCAAGCACTCCTCTCTGCTGTTGTAGCACAAAACAGCCATAGACAGTGCATAAACAAATTGAGCCTGGCTGTTTTCCAATAAAACTTTATTTACAAAAACAGGTGGCCAGCCTGCAAGCTGTAGTTTGCTGAGCCCTGGACTAGGTGATGTTTAGCATCTGACCCATTTCCAGCATTTGTGACTGTATAACCTTATCAGGACTTGATGACTCCTTCTGCACCGCTGATCTTCATCACCCTATTTAGTGCCTGTTGTATGTGCTCTGTTGCTCTTTATTGCTCTGTGTGTATTAGTGCTGTCTTCCCACCTGGAGAGTAAGCAGCTAGGTTGCAGGAATGGTCTTCAGTTCTTCTACATCTTAATGGGAGCTTAACACATCACTGAGCATGTATTAAGAATTATGCAAACAAGAGTACTAACAGTGCCCGGCCGGGCGTGGCTTAGCGGTTGAGCATCGACCTAGGATCCAGGCGATCGGGGTTCGATTCCCGGTCAGGACACATGCCCGGGCTGTGGGCTCGATCCCCAGTTGGGGGCGTGCAGGAGGCAGCCGACCAATGACTCTCTCTCATCATTGATGTTTCTATCTCTCTCTCTCCTTCTCCTTCCCTCTCTCTGAAATCAATAAAGATATATTTAAAAAAAAAAAAAGAGTACTAGCAGCAACAATAGAAGTAGTTATGCTTGATGAGGTGCACAGTACATTTTTTAATATTTTTAATTACAATTTACATTCAGTATTATTTTGTATTAGCATCAGGTTTACAGCATAGGGGTTAGACAATCATATACTTTACAATGTGGTGCCCCTGCTACTTCAGGTACCCACCTGGCACCTTACATAGATATTACGATATTATTGACTGTATCCCCTGTGCTGTACTCTGCACCCCTGAGGCGATTTTGTGACTACCGATTTTGCATGGTACTTATTGCCTGAGCGGGCAGATCACCCAGCGGCGGCTCATCCTGCATGTTCCCCGTCTCTCCCTCCCTCCTCAGCGATCGCAGAGAAGCTGAGATGTGAGCACGAGCGGGCCGTGCACCTCTTCGTTGACTCCCTGATGAATCAAGACCAGCCGAGCTTTGCTTTCCAGTGCACAGACTCGAACCGCTTCAAGAAGGGGATCTGTCTCAGCTGCCGGAAGAACCGTTGTAACAGCATCGGCTACAACACCAAGAAAACTAGGAGTAAGAGGAACAGCAAGATGTACCTGAAAACCCGGGCAGGCATGCCTTTCAGAGGTAACCCTCGGTCCCCGCAGTGCCCCGAGGACTGTCTTGTCCTCCTTCTAAATACCTTGTGGAACAGGTCACATTCCGGCTTGGGAGATGTGGCCGGCGCAGTTAAATCAATCCATTGCAAATCGGCTTATGCTGTGCATGCCGTAGGGAGGTTAATCTTTAAAAACAAAGGGTGGGGACTCCTTTCGTGCTGTGAATCATCATTCCATGATCACAGTATTAATATCTTAAATCTCTCTTGCATTTTACTTTTTAAAGCTGTTCCATATTTGTTTTCTCGTTTGATTATCTCAACAAATCTGAGGTAGGACCAATAAGGGATCAAAATGATATCTTGCCTTTTTATAACATGTTATAAAACCATGAGATTTTGTGGGTATTGTGGGTGTTACAAATGATGAAATTGAGGCTCAAAGAGCATTGGTCCTTAATTCAAGGCTATGCAACAGGAAAGTAGCTGGGCCAGAATCCCCAAAAGTTCTCCTGAACCCTCAGTTTAGAGCTCCTTCTGCACCTCTTATGCCATTGAACTCGATCAGATAGAAGCTGAAGGCCGGGCTGGACCAAAAGGATGGCTGTCCCTATAAGACTCAGTGTGCTGGGTGACTCAGTTTGGGTCAGGTTGCCCTGGGATGACAATGAAGGCTCACAAATGTCTCTGTTCTGCTGTCCCTGCAGTTTATCATTATCAGATGAAAATCCATGTCTTCAGCTACGAGAACACGACAGAAATCGAGCCCGCCTTTTATGTCACCCTTTATGGCACCAGTGCAGACTCGGAGATGCTGCAGTTGGAAATGTAAGTCCCAAGTTCCCTTTGCTGGGCTGAGGACAAGTTGGTATGAGAGTGAGAGAGCTCAGGAGCGTGTGAACGGCGTGGAAGCGTGTAGTCTGAGTGCCGGGGAGGGGCTGGGTGGTTCCAGGGCCTCTGCAGCCCCTGTCTCTCCTTGCACTCTCCACCGCCAAGCCCCTGACACACCAAATTTCTGGGAGGGAGGCTCCCTGGATGAATCAGCAGCGTGAGAAACAGCTGTGTCAGCCAGGCAGAAAGTGCTGTTTCATTTCAGACAACGCCCGATATCTTAGGCTTTAGGAAATTTGGAACGTCATAAGGGTCCGTTTCTAATGATCTGCGGGAGGGGCACACAGCCATCTGTGCATATTTGTTGAGCACCCCTAAGGTACAAGACTTCAGGCTGAGTAGTGCTGGAATTGCAAAGCAACGTCATCAAAGTACTGGCTCTAAGGGCTCAGGGTCTTGTTGGGAGACCAGGCTTGTATGCACACACTCACACACACAAAGGAGGCGAGGCAGGTTCCCCAAGTGCCAAATGGGAGGGATGGGCGGGAGAGGGCCAGGAGCTCTGAAGGAGACAGATGCCGGTGGGCCCAGAGGAAGAGGGTACTGTTGAGTGGGGATGTGACTTCTCTGTGCTTTCTCATTTCTGTTCTTTCTTGGACCTGTGCCCCCAGGAAGTAGCATAAATAGGGAGGTGATCGGGAATGGTTTTGATAAGAAGCTGGGGTGCTGTAGGCAGTTATCTCTATGTCAGCGTGGAGACAGTGAGCTTCCACCTTGGTCCAATGGGGGAAGGTGGGGGGGGGAGAGACCTGTCCTCATTTCTCTTCAGTCTGTGGGGGGCAGGTGCTGCCACTGTGTCACCCCACATGGTGCAGCAGTTTCCCAGGTGGCTGGGGAGTGAGACCAGCTTTTCTTTCTCCGTGTAGGGTGGAGCAGATCGGGCTGAATGCCACCAACACCTTCCTGGTCTACACAGAGGAGGACTTGGGAGACCTCTTGAAGATCAGACTCACCTGGCAGGGGGTATCTCAGTCCTGGTACAGCCTGTGGAAAGAGATTCGCAGCTACCTGTCTCAAACCCCAAAGCCCAAGCAAGAAGTGCATGTTAGGCGCATCCGAGTCAAGTCTGGGGAAACCCAGCGGAAGTAAGTGCCTCATGACCCCTTCTAGACCCACGTCAGTGGTAAGCACAAGGTGTGCGCCTGGGCTGTGTCCTTTCCTTTGCTAAGCAAGCACCTTCAGTCCTTTCATACCCAGAGCACGTGGGCAAAACCTCAAACACCTTTGTAAGGGAAAGTGAATTCCAGATCGAGTCCTTTGTCAACTTTTGTGCCCTGATCATAGGCCCGTGGCTGAGAGGGGTGCCCAAGTGGGGGCTGAATTCCAGCCCTTGTTCTGTTTGCCAAGCCCTGTGTTGGCCCATAGGAAGGGGGCTGCTCCTGGACAGGGCTCTTTAGGAGTGCTGCCTTGCTAACCTGTTTGCTCTGAGGTCTATGCAACCACAAGTCTTTCCTTGCTCCTGTGCAGAGCGAACCAGAGTATCAAGTTCAGGAAGTCCCCAGAATGAGGTCTGTGGGAGGATCTGGTTTCCCTAGCATCTTATTTTCAGAGCATTAGATCTCCCCTTCAGAGACTGTGAGTCAAGGACACGGGGCGGGTCCTGATGTCAAGAAGAGAATCCTCTATGCCATGCCAGCCGGCAGCTTCCTCATGTCTGTTAACCCCAAGACTAGCATGAAAAATCCAGACCTTTATCTGTCAGTGCCTTAACCTGTTCCTTGACTCTCCGAGCAGGCTTCTTTCTAAGTAGAAGCCAGGGATGCCTGGGACCTTTGCCAAGGGGCGGCGAGGGGTGGACCTTGGCCAAATCCTTCAGTAGACCTCTGGGAGGCCACAGCCTGCCTTGGGGTGGTTAGAAACAGCCTCCTCCCTCTTTGTACCTCATCTGGCACTTTCTCTGTTACAGTTCTTCATAGGTCCTGTTTTCATCCATCACCTCCAGCACAGGTTGGCTGTGAGAGGAGTGGAGGCTTGGGTTCCCCGTCTGAGTGATTTTGCCCCCAAAAACCTGTGAACTGGAGGAGAGTGCTCGCTGGGAGAAGCTTTTAGCACCAAGGCTGGGGTCTAAATAATTTTCCTTCTCCTGGTGCTTGTTAAGTGCAACCTGTGCCTAGGGGTCTGGTAGCAGAAAGATGACCATTTTATACAATGTTCCAAATATAATAAACTACTAAGATTTAACTAATGTAAATGTTTTTCCATACTGGTTTTAAAAAAGTAGCACATTACAGATAGAGTTGAAGTCCCTTTGTGTCCTTCCCCTGTTCAATTCCTCTCCTTTTAGACCAAAAGTACTAATCTCCCAAAATTAAATAATGTTAGTATCTTTCCCCCATCATGATTTTTATACCTTTCATATTTCTGCTTGTATCCATACCAACATATAGAATTGTTTTGGATGCTTCTGAAGTTTACACTAGTGCATATACCCCTTAACGAATTGCTTTTTTCATTCAACATTGGTTTTGACATTTATCCAGTGCATATAGATCTAGTCTATTCACATTTAACTCCTGTTTGTAAACTGTCATTGTGCAAGCAATAGTTTCACCACTGCTCTGCTGAATATTTCAGTGGTTGCTACTTTCGTTCAGTTACAAAGAGTCCCGAGATGAACATCCTTGGGGTGTGCATACTAAAAAGTAGAATTGCTAAGTTATAGTGTATGTCTTCTCCAACTTGACTAGATGTTATTAATTACCTCTCTGAAGTGGCTGGACCAATTTTCAATCTTAACCACAGAAAAAGAGTTCCCCTTTCCCCTCCTCCTCACCTATATTTGGCGGGACATTCTAGCTATCTGGTTAGGTATGAGTTGGTCCCCTACTGTCGTTTTAATTTTTTCTAATTGTGATAAGACAAGTCACCGTTTTATATGTTTATGTGCTGTTTGGGCTTCCTAGAAACAGATCTTAAAGCTGTTCTGATTATAGCTTTTGTCTTTTGGGTGAACGTCAGGGTCAAGCGTCCCTCACATCTATTGGTCATGTAGTCATGCTACTCACACACCTCTGAGGTTGGGGGTGGGGTAGGCCACATGATTTGGCTGTAAGTTATAATTGAAATGGTTATTAAACCACTGATTCTATCTGTGATCTTGGCTGCCCATTTCCTGAATCTTTCATTTTAACTCACAGCTGAGTCCAGCTACGCTTGTCAGTGGATATTTATCAGCACTGTCCTGGAGGCATCTTGAATTCCTCCATTCGAGTTTACAGTCCACCGTGGATGTAGGAACCCATAGCAATTCAAAGCAGCGCATAAAGTGTTAAATAAGAGAACACATTCATTATTAACACCATGCCGTAAGAAGTAATGGCAATAACAAAGGCAACATTTCTATAAGGACATGCTTTCCTATTAAACCGAGAGATCAGGGTCTCAGGCAGCCAGGGAGGCATCGGAGAGGCAGGCAGTCTTTCGGACAGACGGAGGGAAGAACGTGGAAAGGGTGTGATGAAGGCTGCACAAGCCGAATCAAGGAAGATGTCAAAATGAGACACGGTTTAGAGTGCTTGTAGTTGCAGCGGGGAGTTCTGAAGGGTCTTGAGTCAGGGTGTGGCATGATGGAAACTTCTCTTGTCTCCTTGGATCCAGAAAGCACTGTCTGGCTAATGCACAGCCACGTACCTTCCCCTCTAGAGTTTTGGTTACCTCGGTATTTCTTTTTCCTCCTAGATATACTTTTTGTGCAGAAGACCCGGAGAACACACGCATATCCGCTGGCCAAGAGCTCTGGTTTCACAAGTGTCTGGATAACTGGAGAATAAAAAATGAAACCAGGTAACCTGGGCTTTCTCCTATGTTCATGCAGCACGTGTTGACTGCCCACCCAGCACGTGTGGACATGGGGCTGGGCACTTGGGACATAGCAGTGAACCAAACAGATAGAAATCCCTTCCTTTAAGAAGCTGACCTCTGCTGCAAGGAAAGACACAGATAAATGGGACATACAGATGACGGAGGGTGTTAACGTGCCTTGGCCCTCTTGTTCTGCTCACCCCATAAGGGTCACAGCCCATGGTCCTGGTGGAATGTCTTTCAGTAACTAAGTCCCTGTGCTCATTTTAGACTGAACTTCTCTGCAGTGCCGGGGGCTGTGGGAAGTTCCAGGGTTCCCAGCTTCCTTGTGGGCACAGGTTGGAGTGGGGAGTTGTGGGGGAGGTAAAGGAGAACCACAGAGTATAATCCCCCTTTTTACGTTTTCAGGAACCCAGATTGGTGTGAGTGGATACGAGTGGGCAGTTCTCCCCCTTTTTGAGAAGCAGGAATTCTCATCTGTAAAAAGCTGAATCAGACAAAAGGGTCACCTTGCTTCAGTGTCCCATTGCCCCATGCTGGAGTCCCTATATTTCAGAATTGAGGAAAGCTGATATCTTAAGACGTGAGGCAGTGGGCACATCCAAAAGGGGAATTTGTGCCCTCGCTGGTTTGGCTCAGTGGTTAGAACATTGGCCCACGGACGGAAGGGTCTTGGGTTCAATTCCGGTCAAGGGCATGTACCTGGCTTGCAGCCTCAATCCCCAGCCTCCGTCAGGGGAGGCAACCAGTCAATATGTCTCTCTCACACTGATGTTTCTCTCTCTTTGTCTCTCCCTTCCACTCTCTAAAAAAATCAATGGGGAAAAAATATCAATGGGAAAAAAATATCCTCAGGTAAGGATTTAAAAAACCCCCAAAACCAAAACAAAACACAAGGGGAATTTGCCACACGTCCTCTGAGCCTAAATGCTTGCCGAAAAGAGGAGGGAGACCACCTCCCGCCCCAACCAAGGTCCTAGACAATAGTGTACTGCCACACGCCGAGCACATAGATGTGCCCACCCTGCGCTCAGTGCCTTCCATGCATTATGTCACTTACTTTCATCTTCAGCCCCAGGACGCTGGTGCTGTTAACCCTGCACACAGTTGGGGAACCTGAGGCTCAGGGAGTTTAGGTCACTTTCAGCGTCCCCCAGCTGGTGACCCCAGAGCAAGGACTGAGGCAGACCCGTTTACTCTGAAGCCTGTGCTCTTTCTTGAGCATGGAGGCTCCACTTGCTCAGATAAATCACCTCACCTTGATCTGGGTATCAATTATCAAGCAGCTGCACTCACGCGGGGCCCCCTGTGATTAACTGTCTGCCAGCCCCGAGGGCCAGGCTACCTGCCAGCTGCTCTGTCGTCTGTTCAGGAGCATCAGTGTGACCACAGGCTCGGGGATCACAGGGCTTGTGGGATTCTGAAGCTGCCCATCTAATTAAGCAACTCGGTCCGGGCTCACCTGATTCTGTGCTTTTATGTTGGTATTTAAATGTATTCCTTTCCTAGCACTCCCTCATATATTAACTTCACTGATCCTCAGAACAGCCACATAGATTGGAGATTCCCAGGAAGGACTGCAGCTCTTATGATAAAATATCTACGAGAAGGTATTTCCTTTTTCACTTCAGACTTTGGCAAAAGTTGAGAACGCTATAACCCTTCTCATACTCCCTCTTTGAGAAAGCGAGCCATCCTTTCCTGCACCCTCAAAGGAGCAGAAAACAACAGGAGCCCGAGTAATGAGCTAACACTAGGGAGCCTTGGCATCCCTAGGCCTGTGTAACACCGCCAGTATTCTCCGCTCACCTGGAGACCGTTCACCTCGTTGACGATAAGGCGAATGAGGTTCCCAGAGGTTCAATAGCGAGCTAGTGTAGCTGAGAATAGAATCAAGATCTCTCTTTTTTCTTTTTGTTAATTCTCACCCAAGTATATTTTTTCCAGTGATTTTTAGAGAGAGTGGAAGGGGGGGAGGGCAGAAAGAGAGAGGTGGGGGGAGAGAGAGAGGGAAACATCAATGTGAGGGAGACACATCAATTGGTTGTCTCCTGCACTTGCCCTGACCAGGGCTGGGGATCTAACCTGTAACCCAGGTACGTGTCCTTGATGGGGAATTGGACCTGAGACTCCTCAGTCCGCAGGCTGGCACTCTGAGCACTGAACTGTACCCGCCAGGGTGTAGGATCGAGGTCTCTTGATTTTTGTCTGCTCCCTGCTATAGTCTCTTTTCTTTCTTTCTTTCTTTCTTTCTTTCTTTCTTTCTTTCTTTCTTTCTTTCTTTCTTTCTTTCTTTCTTTCTTTCTTTCTTTCTCTTTCTTTCTTTCTCTCTCTCTCTCTCTCTCTCTCTCTCTCTCTCTCTCTCTCT